CTGTACGGCCTCCCATGCTGCTGCTCCATCCATCGCCACTCTGCTGCCATGTGCCACTTTCAGGTCTCTTCACACTGCTGGTGTGTTAAATTTTTTGACATAGGGTGCAGGCAGATTACGGGCCTCACATAGCTGCTGCCAGGCCCCTAATCTGCCATGGGCCCCTATATACCGCCTCCTCATGCTGCTGCCAAGTCCAGAGTCTCTCATGGGTCCCTGTACGGCCTCCCATTGCTGCTGTCTCCATCCATCGCCACTCTGCTGCCATGTGCCACTTTCAGGTCTCTTCACACTGCTGGTGTGTTAAATTTTTTGACATAGGGTGCAGGCAGATTACGGGCCTCACATAGCTGCTGCCAGGCCCCTAATCTGCCATGGGCCCCTATATACCGCCTCCTCATGCTGCTGCCAAGTCCAGAGTCTGTCATGGGTCCCTGTACGGCCTCCCATTGCTGCTGTCTCCATCGCCACACTCTGCTGCCATGTGCCACTTTCAGGTCTCTTCACACTGCTGGTGTGTTAAATTTTTTGACATAGGGTGCAGGCAGATTACGGGCCTCACATAGCTGCTGCCAGGCCCCTAATCTGCCATGGGCCCCCCTATATACCGCCTCCTCATGCTGCTGCCAAGTCCAGAGTCTGTCATGGGTCCCTGTACGGCCTCCCATTGCTGCTGTCTCCATCGCCACACTCTGCTGCCATGTGCCACTTTCAGTCTCTTCACTGCTGGTGTGTTAAATTTTTTGACATAGGGTGCAGGCAGATTACGGGCCTCACATAGCTGCTGCCAGGCCCCTAATCTGCCATGGGCCCCTATATACCGCCTCCTCATGCTGCTGCCAAGTCCAGAGTCTGTCATGGGTCCCTGTACGGCCTCCCATTGCTGCTGCTGTCTCCATCGCCACACTCTGCTGCCATGTGCCACTTTCAGGTCTCTTCACACTGCTGGTGTGTTAAATTTTTTGACATAGGGTGCAGGCAGATTACGGGCCTCACATAGCTGCTGCCAGGCCCCTAATCTGCCATGGGCCCCTATATACCGCCTCCTCATGCTGCTGCCAAGTCCAGAGTCTGTCATGGTCCCTGTACGGCCTCCCATTGCTGCTGTCTCCATCGCCACACTCTGCTGCCATGTGCCACTTTCAGGTCTCTTCACACTGCTGGTGTGTTAAATTTTTTGACATAGGGTGCAGGCAGATTACGGGCTCACATAGCTGCTGCCAGGCCCCTAATCTGCCATGGGCCCCTATATACCGCCTCCTCATGCTGCTGCCAAGTCCAGAGTCTGTCATGGGTCCCTGTACGGCCTCCCATTGCTGCTGCTGTCTCCATCGCCACACTCTGCTGCCATGTGCCACTTTCAGGTCTCTTCACACTGCTGGTGTGTTAAATTTTTTGACATAGGGTGCAGGCAGATTACGGGCCTCACATAGCTGCTGCCAGGCCCCTAATCTGCCATGGGCCCCTATATACCGCCTCCTCATGCTGCTGCCAAGTCCAGAGTCTGTCATGGGTCCCTGTACGGCCTCCCATTGCTGCTGTCTCCATCGCCCACTCTGCTGCCATGTGCCACTTTCAGGTCTCTTCACACTGCTGGTGTGTTAAATTTTTTGACATAGGGTGCAGGCAGATTACGGGCCTCACATAGCTGCTGCCAGGCCCCTAATCTGCCATGGGCCCCTATATACCGCCTCCTCATGCTGCTGCTGCTGCTCCCATGCTGCTGCTGCCTCCAGGTCCAGAGTCTCTCATGGGTCCCTGTACGGCCTCCCATTGCTGCTGTCTCCATCGCCACACTCTGCTGCCATGTGCCACTTTCAGGTCTCTTCACACTGCTGGTGTGTTAAATTTTTTGACATAGGGTGCAGGCAGATTACGGGCCTCACATAGCTGCTGCCAGGCCCCTAATCTGCCATGGCCCCTATATACCGCCTCCTCATGCTGCTGCCAAGTCCAGAGTCTGTCATGGGTCCCTGTACGGCCTCCCATTGCTGCTGTCTCCATCGCCACACTCTGCTGCCATGTGCCACTTTCAGGTCTCTTCACACTGCTGGTGTGTTAAATTTTTTGACATAGGGTGCAGGCAGATTACGGGCCTCACATAGCTGCTGCCAGGCCCCTAATCTGCCATGGGCCCCTATATACCGCCTCTGCTGCTGCTGTCCAGAGTCTGTCATGGGTCCCTGTACGGCCTCCCATTGCTGCTGTCTCCATCGCCACACTCTGCTGCCATGTGCCACTTTCAGGTCTCTTCTCACACACTGCTGGTGTGTTTAAATTTTTTGACATAGGGTGCAGGCAGATTACGGGCCTCACATAGCTGCTGCCAGGCCCCTAATCTGCCATGGGCCCCTATATACCGCCTCCTCATGCTGCTGCCAAGTCCAGAGTCTGTCATGGGTCCCTGTACGGCCTCCCATTGCTGCTGTCTCCATCGCCACACTCTGCTGCCATGTGCCACTTTCAGGTCTCTTCACACTGCTGGTGTGTTAAATTTTTTGACATAGGGTGCAGGCAGATTACGGGCCTCACATAGCTGCTGCCAGGCCCCCTAATCTGCCATGGGCCCCTATATACCGCCTCCTCATGCTGCTGCCAAGTCCAGAGAGTCTGTCATGGGTCCCTGTACGGCCTCCCATTGCTGCTGTCTCCATCGCCACACTCTGCTGCCATGTGCCACTTTCAGGTCTCTTCACACTGCTGGTGTGTTAAATTTTTTGACATAGGGTGCAGGCAGATTACGGGCCTCACATAGCTGCTGCCAGGCCCCTAATCTGCCATGGGCCCCTATATACCGCCTCCTCATGCTGCTGCCAAGTCCAGAGTCTGTCATGGGTCCCTGTACGGCCTCCCATTGCTGCTGTCTCCATCGCCACTCTGCTGCCATGTGCCACTTTCAGGTCTCTTCACACTGCTGGTGTGTTAAATTTTTTGACATAGGGTGCAGGCAGATTACGGGCCTCACATAGCTGCTGCCAGGCCCCTAATCTGCCATGGGGGCCCCCCTATATACCGCCTCCTCATGCTGCTGCCAAGTCCAGAGTCTGTCATGGGTCCCTGTACGGCCTCCCATTGCTGCTGTCTCCATCGCCACACTCTGCTGCCATGTGCCACTTTCAGGTCTCTTCACACTGCTGCTGTGTGTGTTAAATTTTTTGACATAGGGTGCAGGCAGATTACGGGCCTCACATAGCTGCTGCCAGGCCCCTAATCTGCCATGGGCCCCTATATACCGCCTCCTCATGCTGCTGCCAAGTCCAGAGTCTGTCATGGGTCCCTGTACGGCCTCCCATTGCTGCTGTCTCCATCGCCACACTCTGCTGCCATGTGCCACTTTCAGGTCTCTTCACACTGCTGGTGTGTTAAATTTTTTGACATAGGGTGCAGGCAGATTACGGGCCTCACATAGCTGCTGCTGCAGCCCCCAGGCCCCTAATCTGCCATGGGCCCCCTATACCTGCCTACCGCCTCCTCATGCTGCTGCCAAGTCCAGAGTCTCTCATGGGTCCCTGTACGGCCTCCCATGCTGCTGCTGTCTCCATCGCCACACTCTGCTGCCATGTGCCACTTTCAGGTCTCTTCACACTGCTGGTGTGTTAAATTTTTTGACATAGGGTGCAGGCAGATTACGGGCCTCACATAGCTGCTGCCAGGCCCCTAATCTGCCATGGGCCCCTATATACCGCCTCCTCATGCTGCTGCCAAGTCCAGAGTCTGTCATGGGTCCCTGTACGGCCTCCCATTGCTGCTGTCTCCATCGCCACACTCTGCTGCCATGTGCCACTTTCAGGTCTCTTCACACTGCTGGTGTGTTAAAATTTTTTGACATAGGGTGCAGGCAGATTACGGGCCTCACATAGCTGCTGCCAGGCCCCTAATCTGCCATGGGCCCCTATATACCGCCTCCTCATGCTGCTGCCAAGTCCAGAGTCTGTCATGGTCCCTGTGTACGGCCTCCCATTGCTGCTGTCTCCATCGCCACACTCTGCTGCCATGTGCCACTTTCAGGTCTCTTCACACTGCTGGTGTGTTAAATTTTTTGACATAGGGTGCAGGCAGATTACGGGCCTCACATAGCTGCTGCCATGGGCCCCCCTAATCTGCCATGGGCCCCTATATACCGCCTCCTCATGCTGCTGCCAAGTCCAGAGTCTCTCATGGGTCCCTGTACGGCCTCCCATGCTGCTGCTGCCTCCATCGCACACTTTCATGTGCCACTTTCAGGTCTCTCTCTTTCACACACACTGCTGGTGTGTTAAATTTTTTGACATAGGGGTGCAGGCAGATTACGGGCCTCACATAGCTGCTGCCAGGCCCCTAATCTGCCATGGGCCCCTATATATACCGCCTCCTCATGCTGCTGCCAAGTCCAGAGTCTCTCATGGGTCCCTGTACGGCCTCCCATTGCTGCTGTCTCCATCGCCACACTCTGCTGCCATGTGCCACTTTCAGGTCTCTTCACACTGCTGGTGTGTTAAATTTTTTGACATAGGGTGCAGGCAGATTACGGGCCTCACATAGCTGCTGCCAGGCCCCTAATCTGCCATGGGCCCCTATATACCCTCCTCCTGCTGCTGCTGCCAAGTCCAGAGTCTGTCATGGGTCCCTGTACGGCCTCCCATTGCTGCTGTCTCCATCGCCACACTCTGCTGCCATGTGCCACTTTCAGGTCTCTTCACACTGCTGGTGTGTTAAATTTTTTGACATAGGGTGCAGGCAGATTACGGGCCTCACATAGCTGCTGCCAGGCCCCTAATCTGCCATGGGCCCCCTATATACCGCCTCCTCATGCTGCTGCCAAGTCCAGAGTCTGTCATGGGTCCCTGTACGGCCTCCCATTGCTGCTGTCTCCATCGCCACACTCTGCCATGTGCCACTTTCAGGTCTCTCACACACTGCTGGTGTGTTGAATTTTTTGACATAGGGTGCTGGCAGATTACGGGCCTCCCATAGCTGCTGCCAGGCCCCTAATCTGCCATGGGCCCCTATATACCGCCTCCTCATGCTGCTGCCAAGTCCAGAGTCTGTCATGGGTCCCTGTACGGCCTCCCATTGCTGCTGTCTCCATCGCCACACTCTGCCATGTGCCACTTTCAGGTCTCTCACACACTGCTGGTGTGTAGTTAAATTTTTTGACATAGGGTGCTGGCAGATTACGGGCCTCCCATAGCTGCTGCCAGGCCCCTAATCTGCCATGGGCCCCTATATACCGCCTCCTCATGCTGCTGCAAGTCCAGAGTCAGGTCTGTCATGGGTCCCTGTACGGCCTCCCATTGCTGCTGTCTCCATCGCCACACTCTCTGCCATGTGCCACTTTCAGGTCTCCTCACACTGCTGGTGTGTTGAATTTTTTGACATAGGGTGCTGGCAGATTACGGGCCTCCTATAGCTGCTGCCAGGCCCCTAATCTGCCATGGGCCCCTATATACCGCCTCCTCATGCTGCTGCCAAGTTCAGAGTCTGTCATGGGTCCCTGTACGGCCTCCCATTGCTGCTGTCTCCATCGCCACACTCTGCCATGTGCCACTTTCAGGTCTCCTCACTCACTGCACTGCTGGTGTGTTGAATTTTTTGACATAGGGTGCTGGCAGATTACGGGCCTCCTATAGCTGCTGCCAGGCCCCTAATCTGCCATAAGCCCCTATATACCGCCTCCTCATGCTGCTGCCAAGTCCAGAGTCTGTCATGGGTCCCTGTACGGCCTCCCATTGCTGCTGTCTCCATCGCCACACTCTGCCATGTGCCACTTTCAGGTCTCCTCACACACTGCTGGTGTGTTGAATTTTTTGACATAGGGTGCTGGCAGATTACGGGCCTCCTATAGCTGCTGCCAGGCCCCTAATCTGCCGTAGGCCCCTATATACCGCCTCCTCATGCTGCTGCCAGGTCCAGAGTCTCTCATGGGTCCCTGTACGGCCTCCCATTGCTGCTGTCTCCATCGCCACACTCTGCCATGTGCCACTTTCAGGTCTCCTCACACTGCTGGTGTGTTCCATTTTTTGTCATAGGGTGCTGGCAGATTATGGGCCTCCCATAACTGCTGCCAGGCCCCTAATCTGCCATGGGCCCCTATACCGACTCCTCATGCTGTGACGTTGCAACAAGGTGGAATTCAACCCTACATATGTTAGACCGCCTTTACGAACAGCAAAAGGCCATCACAGATTTCCTGATGTTAAAAGCAGATAAAGGTACTCCCTGTGTAACTTAGATGTCACCATTGGCAGCTCATGCGTGACACCTGCGCTTGCTCAGGCCCTTTGAGGAGGCCACGCTATTCGTGAGTCGGCAGGACTATGGGATGAACGACGTCATTCCTCTGTTGCACGTCCTGGAACAAATGCTGTTAACAATGGCTGGTCAGGGTGCGGTAGACGTGGCGCACAGATCTCAACGCCACATGGCCCCTGTGGGGGGGCACTGGAAGAAGAGGAGGAGGTAGAGGAGGACATTGGTGCTCAGGAATTATTGAGTGAAATGGGTGGTTTTTTTCCACTCAGCGGACAGGAGTGGAGGAGCAGGAGCATCTGGTAGAGGAGGAGGAAGAGGAGACAGAGGACCTAGACGCACCGTGGCAGTATGCTGTGGAGATGGAGGCAGGGAGTCCCTCGCATTCCTTGGCACAAATGGCCCATAGCATGCTCGGTTGCTTGCGTAGCGACAGCCGAATAATAACCATCAGACAGAGGGATGACTTTTGGCTGTCCACCTTGTTGGACCCTCGCTACCGTTCAAAAATGGTGGCCTTTTTCACACCTGCTGAGAGGGAGGCCAAAATAACGTACTATAAAAAAACACCTATGTAGTCAGCTGTCTCTGCTCTGCCTGTCTGCGCCAACGTCCATCCTCAGACACTGTGGGCCCTGTGCGCTCGTGTTCCGCTGCCATGGCAGCAGGGGAGGGGTGGGGTGGTAGGAGCAGTGGCAGCTCCACCAGCAGCGGCTGCCTCAGTCTGCAGTCGATGATGAGTAGCTTTCTTCACCAGCGCAGTGAGGAAACTACTAACCAGCCGCAGCAGCAGCAGCAGCATCAGGTGGACCTGGAGCAGGACCTCAAACAACAGGCTTAGGCCTACTTGGACAGCACCCTGCCAACCGAGGTAGACAATCCCCTTGACTACTGGGCAACGAAACTTGACCTTTGGCCCCAACTAGCTGAATTTGCCCTTGAAAGGCTGTCATGCCCGGCCAGTAGCGTGGCATCGGAGCGCGTGTTTAGTGCGGCAGGAGGTATTGCAACTCCGCGGAGGACACGACTGTCCACCCAAAGTGTGGAGAGACTCACGTTTGTGAAAATGAATCAGGCGTGGATTAGTCTGGATTTCAAACCACCAGTTCCTGACACAACTGACTAAATCCGCCATGAATCATGCCCCAAACATGTGCCACTTTCAGGTCTCCTCACACTGCTGGTGTGTTCCATTTTTTGTCATAGGGTGCTGGCAGATTACGGGCCTCCCATAGCTGCTGCCAGGCCCCTAATCTGCCATGGGCCCCTATACCGCCTCCTCATGCTGCTGCCAAGTCCAGAGTCTCTCATGGGTCCCTGTACGGCCTCCCATGCTGCTGCTGCCTCCTGCCTCCATCGCCACACTCTGCCATGTGCCACTTTCAGGTCTCCTCACACTGCTGGTGTGTTCCATTTTTTGTCATAGGGTGCTGGCAGATTACGGGCCTCCCATAGCTGCTGCCAGGCCCCTAATCTGCCATGGGCCCCTATACCGCCTCCTCATGCTGCTGCCAGGTCCAGAGTCTCTCATGGGTCCCTGTACGGCCTCCCATTGCTGCTGTCTCCATCGCCACACTCTGCCATGTGCCACTTTCAGGTCTCCTCACACTGCTGGTGGGTTCCATTTTTTGTCATAGGGTGCTGGCAGATTACGGGCCTCCCATAGCTGCTGCCAGGCCCGTAATCTGCCATGGGCCCCCGTACCGACTCCTCATGCTGCTGCCAGGCCCGTAATCTGTCATGGGCCACTGTTGTCGCTTGTTGGCATATTCCGCTCGTTCAGATGCTCCTTCTCCTGCTACTCCTCTTCACGGATTCCGTCAGCAGTCTTTCTTGGAATCCGTTTCCAAGAGACAACAGTTTGCGAGCACGCACCCGACGGTGCAGAAGCTGAACGTCCTCCTGTCCAAGTTGCTGCTGCCAGGCTCGTAATCTGTCATGCGCCCCTGTACCGCCTCCTCATGCTGCTGCCAGGTCCAGAGTGTGTCATGGGCCCCCGTACCGACTCCTCATGCTGCTGCCAGGCCCGTAATCTGTCATGGGCCCCTGTACCGCCTCCCCATGCTGCTGCCAGGTCCAGAGTGTGTCATGGGTCCCTGTACGGCCTCCCATTGCTGCTGCCAGGCCCGTAATCTGCCATGGGCCCCTGTACCGACTCCTCATGCTGCTGCCAGGCCCGTAATCTGTCATGGGCCCCTGTACCGCCTCCTCATGCTGCTGCCAGGTCCAGAGTGTGTCATGGGTCCCTGTACGGCCTCCCATTGCTGCTGTCTCTATCGCCACACTCTGCCATGTGCCACTTTCAGGTCTCCTCACACTGCTGGTGGTTTCCATTTTTGTCATAGGGTGCTGTATGGCCTCCCATTGCTGCTGCCTCCACCGCCACACTGTGGCTCCACACTCTGGTTTTGGCCCCGTGACTGCCCAAATGAGTGAAGTGTGCGGTGATTCTAAGATCGACGGCACTCATCTGCATGTCATACTGACTGACAGTATTATTTCTCTTCCCCAGCAGACTCCAAGGGCATTTAAATTAAAGGTACAGTGTTCTGCACTAATATTAAGTCTCTCTGAAGCCTAGAAACACCCTTTTTTAAGTTAAATTCACAGCGAATTTATTCGACTCGAATCGAATATTGTCCACGAATTCGCCGAATCAGTCGAATCGAATTTTTCATTTCTTCTGGGCATGAGCTTTTTCATGCGCAGTTTAAAAAAAGAGCATACGGTATATGCCGAAGCATGGGGGCCTGGGTGGCCAGTGGGTGAATGGCCCCTATGCTTCAGTATATATATTTTTTTAAAATTGTTGACAGAGATTTCTTCATCCACATCGACCAATGTGAATAGAGGAACCTGTTAGTTTATTTTTTTTTTCGTTTCATGTGTGCCCACCATTAGAAGTGGGTGGACAGAGAGAGGTATATTCTAATGGTGGGCATACTTTTTCTGGCAGAGATTTCTTCTTTTTTTTTCATTCAGTACACAGGCTGCATAAAAGAAAAAAAACATAGCATATATACCAAACAAGCGATGTACTGGTACATCACTGGACTTTGAGTGGTTATATCAGGATCCTTGTATAATTTATTTTCAGCTGGCGATCAGTTTTCATGTAAAAGCAATCCTAGTGGCTAATTAGCTGCAGGATTGTTTTTACAAGCAGCGGGAGAAGATGCCCCCCCGCTGCTTTCCACTGCCTTCTCAGGCTTTCCCGTGCCATCAGGGGAAACTGAGAATGCAGCCGGTGTTTCTGCCAGCTAACCATAGATTTGACTGGAAACCGCCATGGTGCCAATCATCTCTGTAGTCTAAGAAATCGGAAGCTTACCAGCATTTGATCACTTCAGTTTTGCAGGATATAAACAGCACCATTTGTAAATTGGGAAAGCATCTGATCACACCGATCTTGGTGAGATTAGATAATGTAAGAGAAGAGGAGATATCTAGAGTCTGATGGACCCCAAATTTCTCAAAAATGAATGTATGACAA